TTTTGTTCCCCTTTCCCTCCTTCTCACCCTTGCCCTTTGTTCCATCAGTCCTCTTCCCTATTGCAAGAGATCCTTCCCCTATCTATTTAATTGGTTTTATTTCTTTTTTCTTTTTTTTTTTTTTTTTTTTGTGGTACCAGGGATTGAACTCAGGACCTTCCGCTTGGCAGGCAAGCACTTATTCTACTGAGCTATTTCCCTGACCCCTGGTCTCATTTCTTAAATCATTTCTCCTTTCTGTTTTCTGTCTTTTGTCCTTCTGTACTTGGGCCTCTTAATCTCTTTTATTGTCACTTTTATCTCTTTGTCTTGTCTGTATGATTTCTTCAGCCATCCTCTTTCAACTTTTCTATTAACTTTTTAAGGTTTTTGATGCTTTTAACTAATAATAGTTTGCTTTTATTTTTTAATGTATTTAGTACAGGGTCTACAGGATCTCACTACCCAGATCGGACTCATAGTGATCCTCCTGTCTTCAGCCCGTTGAGATTACAGGCACGCGCCACCATGCCCATTCTCAGTCACCATCTCAGCTCGCCCAGTGGGCGGGGCCGGCACGGCACACTGGGGGATTGAACCCTGTGCAGGTGCTTAGTCCACTGAGCTATCTGGCTGGCCAATAACAGTTTTCTTATTTCCTAAATATGTCTCTTTAAAAAGTATATTGTTTCATTGATTGTAATAGTAATAAGGATGTAATAATAGGTTCCCCTTTAGTTTTCTTTTTTCTCCTGCACTGTTCTTTCCAAATGTGCCCTGTTTACTATTTTGTCTTGGGTTAGAGGTTTTTCTCCTCTAGTTTGTTGTTGCTCTTTAATGTTTCTATTTGAAAGTAACACTAATTGTGTTTGGAAGCTGAGTGGTTTTTGAGAACCAGTGGAATTCACCATATGGATATTACACAGGGACCCAGGTATTCTATTGGAAGGTTTCCCAAATACAGTTCCCCAAAGAGGCATCTCCATTTTCCTGCTAGGGAGGTATGAGCCTGGCTGTGCCTGTAGTTGATGAGCAGGTGAAAGGTGTGAGAGGTGGTGTCTCATCTGTGTATGCAGGCTTTAAGCTTTAGCTTGCCATGCAATGACCAGTCCCAGCCTCCTCACCTGGTGTTCCTGAATAGGGAGTCTCTGGTTCAGCCCTGGCCTTTTACCTCCCACCCTTTGAGACTTGAAAAGGGAGGAGCCTCTCCTTGTCTCTTGTGCACCTTGTTCTTTTCCTATCATACATGGCATTTATGATACTTTGAGTTTCCTCTTAATTTATTTGTTTCTCTGAGGGATTGGGTATCTTTGTTTTTTATTGTTTTGTGGTACTGTGAGTTGAACCCCAGATGTTTTTCACTAAGCCATATCCCTAGCCATTTTGTTTTGTTTTATTTTGATTTTGAGACAGGGTTTCGCTGTGAAGTTTAGGCTGGCCTTGAACTCACTATGTAGCCCAGCCTCGCCTTGAACTCATGGTGATCCTCCTGCCTCAGCATCCCAAGTGCTAGGATTACAGGCATGCACCAACATGCCTAGCTCACTTTTAATTTTTGAGACAGGAACTTGCTCCTACTGCCTCCGCCACCCAGAGTGCTGTGATTACAGGCCTATGCTAGCAGGTCTGGCTTTAGTTTGCATGTGGATCATTTTATCCCTAGTATTTGGGGACATTAGATATTCAGTCTTATTTTCTATCCTGGGAGTAAGTTATTAGATTCAGTCTAACTCTGCTCCCAGAAGCCAGAGTTTCAGTCTCTAGAAAGGGTGTGTGACATGCCTTTAGCATTGTGTCTTGGCTATCCCATGCTAGTCAAGGGTAGGCACTTTAGATCAGTTGTCCCTACACTCCTAGATAGTGTCATCATTTCTTGGATGAGAAATTAACCAAGTTCTTTTTCCTAGTGAGTCCAGAAAGTGTAAATGTATAGGCATTTAGTGGTTTCAAACTCAGTACTGGAAAGCCATGTAGATTCTTTTTTCTTTTTAAAAATTATTTATTATGAAAAAAAATTAGTAGGGGACTCAGGTCAACAATTTCTGACATTGCCAGTTAAGCAGAAGACCCAATACTATTATGGACTACTGGACTCTTCTGGAATATTTTGCTGAGTTCACACATCTATAATATTCAAATGACAGAACTAAACAATAAAGGGGATACAGATGAATGTTCATTTGTATCTGTGTATTCAAAATGGTTAGGATAGATATATAGTTACATTCTCTTAATGAATAGAGGGATTTGTTCTAATAGTGTTCGTAAATAGGATATCATGTCTGCATCTTGTACAGCAAATAACGACTAGGAAGAGTATGCGATGTGTTAATTGTTGAAACTGTCCTACCAATTTGATTTGAAAAAATAAATAAAATGAAAAAAATTAAATATACAATTTTTGGAGCAAATCCTAGAATCATATCATCTGTAAATAATATCTCTTTTTTAAACAATGGTCTTTAAGAAAAAAATCCCAATACCATAACTTTGCCTAAGGGAAAAATAACAATTCTTTAGTATTCTCAAAGATATATATGATACTCTAAGCATTCATTTTAGGAAGTTTTGTAGAAGCCCCACAGTGCAAAACTGGGTCATGAAAGAAAATAGCTTTAGATGGCTTTTTCATCTCTTATTTTCCTTTCCCATTATTTTAAAAATTGAAGTGTAATTTATTGCAGTTTCTTTTTTTTTTTTTTCTTTTTGGTACCAGGGATTGAACTCAGGACCTCTCCTTTGTCAGGCAGGTGCTAATGCCACTGAGCTATCTCCCCAGCCCTGGAGTTTCTTGATTTATGACGTATATACTATAAAATTTCTTGTTTTAAATGTACTATTCTTATATTTTTAGTGAATTTATGAGTTGTACTACTGTGACCACAATCAAACTTTAGCATATTTCCATCACATGTCCCCAAACCACTCTTTACATTTACATTCATTCCTTGATCTCAGCCACAGGTAAGCATTAATCTCTCCTCTGGCTCTGTAATTTTTTTTGTGTGTGCTTCATATATTTATTTATTTATTTATTTTATTTTTTAAACAAATTCTTTTTTTCTTTAATTTTTTTATTTGTGTGGGGGGAGCAGCTCAGCCCACCAGGGGGCGGGCTGGCTGGCATGTGGTGCTGGGGGATTGAACCACAGTCCCTGTAGCTTTGCTAAGCTTGTTCTAAGTAGGTGCTTTAGATCACTGAGCCATCTCACCAGCCCCTATATTTATTTATTTAATAGACTTTCAGCCAGGTGTCATTAATTTTACTTTCTCCTAAGCTACCAGCTCATGAGACATTAGGAAAAGGCTTCATATATATTGTCTTATTCACTAGGAGTTAGCATTTGGGTGCACTAATTTTGCACTCATTTACCTACTCCCTAGGTTCCACAATGCTTTCATGTCTTCTTTCCCATTCTGTTTTTTTTTTTTTTTCCACTAGGGCTTATACTTTTTTTTGACAATTTATTCCTTTAAGACAAAAAGAAAAGTGTCTTTTTAATGAGATTTCAAGAATGACTAGGTAGGGGCCAGGGAGATGGCTCAGTAGAATAAGCGCTTCCCTGACAAGTGCAAGGGCCTAAGTTCAATCCCCAGATCTACAAAAAAAAAAAAAAAAGAATGACTAGGTACAAGTGTGCATGTGTTATCTACAATCAGTAACTGGAAATCTTCCCTGCTAATGTTAAGTTGCCCTTTTCACTTATTTAAGGTTTCTAAGATGCTGGTATGTCTTGGCAATGTCCACTGTCCTCAGGGATGACAGAATGCCCACAAGCTTCTGTGGCAGAGATGTGGCCTTACCACGTGTCAGTCTTTTCTAACACTAACCCTCACTGTTGTAAACGGGTCACAGGAGCTGGAAAGGGCAGCCTGTGAACAAGCCTGTATGCAAGTGCCTCAGGTGCCTGGAGTAGAAGCCAAATCTTCCCTAAACTTGACAGGTTCCTTGTGTGCATGCTTGTCAGCAGCATCACAGGCTCAAAAAGATCTAGGCTTGGCCACTCCTCTTTCTCCATCATTCCTTTTTTGTTTTTGCTTTGATTTAAGCTTTTCTAAGTCTTAACACTTTTCTTCTTTGTCTTTCCTGTAGGATCATGGATTTTCCTGGGCACTTTGAGCAGATTTTCCAGCAACTAAACTACCAGAGACTTCATGGCCAGCTCTGTGACTGTGTCATTGTAGTGGGAAATAGACATTTCAAAGCCCACCGCTCAGTGCTGGCAGCATGCAGCACGCATTTCCGAGCTCTGTTCTCAGTGGCAGAGGGAGATCAGACGATGAATATGATCCAGCTTGATAGCGAGGTAGTGACAGCGGAGGCCTTTGCTGCGCTGATTGACATGATGTATACCTCCACCCTCATGCTGGGGGAGAGCAATGTTATGGATGTCTTATTGGCAGCCTCTCACCTGCATTTGAACTCTGTTGTTAAGGCATGTAAACATTACCTTACGACAAGGACACTGCCCATGTCTCCCCCCAGTGAGCGCATACAGGAGCAGAGTGCCCGCATGCAGCGCTCCTTTATGCTGCAGCAGCTGGGACTGAGCATTGTGAGCTCAGCCCTCAATTCCAGCCAGAGTGGTGAGGAACAGCCAGCCCCCATAAGCTCATCAATGCGTGGTAACATGGACCAGCGGACACCCTTCCCTATGAGACGCCTTCATAAGCGCAAGCAGTCTGCAGAGGAACGGGCCAGGCAGCGCCTCCGGCCCTCCATGGATGAATCTGCCATTTCAGATGTCACGCCAGAGAATGGGCCTTTGGGCGTTCATTCCCGGGAGGAGTTCTTTTCACCAGATTCTCTAAAAATTGTGGATAATCCTAAACCTGATGGAATGACTGACAACCAGGAAGACAGTGCTATCATGTTTGACCAGTCTTTTGGTGCCCAAGAAGATGCCCAGGTGCCCAGCCAGTCTGACAACAGTGCCAGCAACATAGCACAATTGTCAATGGCCTCACGCGCAACTCAGGTTGAGACTAGTTTTGAGCAGGAAGCTGCAACTGAGAAAAGTGGTTTTCAGTGTGAAAATGCTGAGGTTAGCCTTGGTGAGAAGGAGCACATGAGAGTGGTGGTTAAATCTGAGCCCCTGAGCTCGCCTGAGCCTCAGGATGAAGTGAGCGATGTGACCTCCCAAGCAGAGGGCAGCGAGTCTGTGGAAGTGGAAGGAGTTGTGGTCAGTGCCGAGAAGATAGACCTTAGCCCTGAAAGCAGTGATCGGAGTTTCTCAGATCCCCAGTCTAGCACTGACAGGGTAGGTGACATCCACATTTTGGAAGTCACAAATAACTTAGAACATAAGTCCACATTTAGTATTTCAAATTTTCTCAGTAAGAGCCGAGGAAATAACTTCAGTGCAAATCAGAACAATGATGATAACATCCCAAACACAACCAGCGACTGCCGGCTGGAGGGCGAGGGCCCTTACTTGCTGAGTCCAGAGGCTGGGCCTGCTGGTAGCTCCTCCTCTGCCCCTGGCTCTCATGTGGAGAACCCATTCAGTGAGCCAGCAGACTCGCACTTTGTTAGGCCCATGCAGGAGGTGATGGGCCTGCCATGTGTGCAGACCTCAGGCTACCAGGGAGAGCAGTTTGGGATGGATTTTTCCAGGTCTGGTCTAGGACTCCATTCATCCTTTTCTAGAGTAATGATGGGTTCCCCAAGAGGAGGAGCCAGTAACTTTCCATACTACCGCCGCATAGCTCCCAAAATGCCAGTGGTAACATCTGTCAGGAGTTCACAGATGCCAGAAAACTCTTCCAGTTCCCAACTAATGATGAATGGAGCCACATCCTCATTTGAAAATAGCCATCCCTCCCAGCCTGGCCCTCCGCAGTTGACCAGGGCATCTGCTGACGTCCTGTCAAAATGCAAGAAGGCCTTATCAGAGCACAATGTCTTGGTTGTAGAGGGAGCTCGCAAATATGCCTGCAAAATCTGCTGCAAAACTTTTCTGACTTTGACAGATTGTAAGAAGCACATCCGTGTTCATACAGGTGAAAAGCCGTACGCCTGCCTGAAGTGTGGCAAGAGGTTTAGTCAGTCTAGCCACCTGTATAAACATTCGAAAACTACTTGCCTTCGGTGGCAGAGCAGCAACCTTCCCAGCACTTTGCTCTAACTGTCCTCATGAGACAGTGCCGGGGCCAGTAATAGGACTGAAACTAGAATCGCTTTTGGTGTGCAGCTAATGCCTTTGGGTTTGAGGCTTCAGCTGCCCAGTAGCGCTTGCAGCTTTTGACCACTATTAAGTGGAAAACTTACAGGTAGCACTTGGCTTTAGCATTTCTGAGTGACGTGCACATGTTGGGAATGAGATGCAGTAGATCCCTGGAACCAAATTCTTCCTAAGGATTGAATAATGCACTCATAGTTTGTAATTAATGTCATTAAAAGTGGTACACTTAAAAATGGAAATGCAAAAAAAAATTTTTTTTTTTTAGCAATTTTTGTAAAGCTCTGTGAAACATTTAAATTTCCTATGCCCCCTGATGGGATGATTATATATCCCTGTACAGTGATGCAAAATGCACTTATGTGTAACCAGTGGTGACTTGTCTGAAAGGAAGACCCTTGAGGACATGCCTGTCTGCCACAAATGCTTTAAATCCTGAGCTAGTTCTAGGCCTCAGAAAGTACTGTATTTTTTATTTTCGTCTGAGTTGGCAGTCACAGACACTGCACTTTGATGGTGCTGACACTGGGTCCAGGTGAGCGTTCTCTTGGACTAATAGGTGTATATACTTCTGAGTCTGTTGAGTAGATGTTTTAACAATTTCCACCCCCCTCCCCCAGTTTTAAAGATGAAGTTGTAAATGGAGTATGTACTTGTAGGAGTGACAAGTAAGGTATTATTTCTATATGTGCTGTTTTAGCCGAATTTTAACCAACTTGTGTTACCAATGTTACTGTTACATGTTTGGAAGTCAGAAAAAGCTAGTTGTTTGTCTTTGTTCTGATGACGTAGAGTCATGTTTTGTGGCGATTTCATGATCCATTGCCCTTTGCTCATCAGACACTGAAGACCTGTTCAGTCTGACACATTCCGCTGAGGACAAGCCTGTTTTCCACTGCACTGTATCTTCATGCTTCCCTTCCCTGTCTGGCCTCTCTCCTAGATTACTGTTTTGAGTTACAAACTAACCAAAAATAATGTTACCTCCCATGGGTTTCTATTACTGTTATATACTAGTCTTTAAATGTTTAGACCCTAAACTTTATTATTGCTCCCCAAACCTAATACTGAGGGTTTAAAATTGTTTGAAATCCAAATCATTCACAGATCGGTCATTTCTAGGCTCATAAGGGATAAGATAGCCAGTAACACAGAAGTCACTCAGTAGCATCTGAGATTGCCGGAGAGGCATTGAGTCACTGCCCTGGGCCTCCCAGCTCACTTCCCGTGCCCCAGCTTGCTGTCCTGTGCTGTCATGGCTGTTGGTCACACCCATTTTGACCATCCCCTGGCTCACGTGTATAGGGGAACAGCCCAGGTTCCTGTATCTGTAGAGTTCAGTTTGGCTCATGCAGACATGGGTTTGTTTTTTATACAACTTTCTCAGAAATAACTAAATTATTGTGCATAATTCAGAGAATTCAGTTCTTATGATTAGAAAGCTAAGTATGTGTAGTTTAAAACAAAAGTGTGTGTCTTCTCTTAATCTAGTATGTACGGTACACATCTGTGGATAAATCTAATGTTCATAGAGGGCTTGGCCCCCCCTATGAACTGATCTCAAGGAGGAAAGCTCACAAGGAAACCTGCAGCTCCTCCTTGGGCAGATGTGGGGGACCATTGGAGGTGTGGCTCATAGTCAGCTGTCCTGTCCTGACGTGGTAGGAGCAGCTCTACAGCCACCGCCCACATGATGTAGGGACCTGTGTCCTGTGAGAAACTTGACAATGGGAGTTAGGTGGGTTGGCAAGGGGAATGAGAGCTCTGTCTGGGCTTGGGACAAGGAGCCAGTGACACAGGTATGGGAGCTCTCCTTCCCTCCATTCTTTCAGAGATGGTACCAGGAGCGTCCTCCTCACCCCTGCTCAAGCTGAAGTGGACTTGTCTTGAGGGCTTGTTTCTGACACATGCCAGAGTCCTGCCTCTCCACTGCTAGATGGAACCTGGAATCTCTCATCTACCTCTTAAAATCAGTTTCTATGTGTGAGAAGCAAACTTGTGGGCCGGTGTCCTGGATCATGCTATAGCACTTCTTAAAAAATAATGCCAAGGTTCCCTGGAAAACCAGGGTTCCTATGATCTAGTTTCTACCTGGATTCTAACTGGTATTGGGGACCTAAATATTGATTGGTTAGCCTTAATTATAGCCTGGCATAATCATAATGTTTCCGGTTGATAGCAGCAAAATGTTCTGTCGGGGCACCTATGTCAGTGGTGCTATGCTGGTTTAAATTTGAGATTTTGAAATAAAACATTTGTCATATCCATGCCTCTATATGTGTTCTTTTCTTTGCTTAGGTTGAAACAAAACAGGAAAGTAGTATTGTATCCTGTGTTGGTTCTGCTTCTAGTACTTTTAAAACCAAGATTCTAGGGCTGGGGAGATAGTTCAGTGGAATAAGTGCTTGCCTGGCAAGTGCAAGGTCCTGAGTTCAATCCCTGGTACCACCAAAAAATAAAAATAAAAAAGCTTCCAAGACAATAATACAGTCAATAAATAACTATTTCTTGTTCCCTTCAAATTACTTACTCTGCTTTGCCCACACTCCTCCTGCCTTTGGGCTATAGATATGAGCAAGGCTGCTTGACCCTGGGTTGCAGTGCTGCTGGCAGTGTCATTTGCCAGTCTGGCACATTGCAGGGGTTGGGGGAGACACTGATTCCTTTAGCACAGAGCAGGGCTTTGGCAACAGCAATCCTGATGGCCTGGCCTTGGGGAGGAGACATAAGATGATTAAACAGATCTGGACATGGTGGCCCACACCTATAATCCCAGTACTTGGGAAGCTGAGACCACAAGTGAGAGTCCAGCCTGGACTATGTGGTAAGTACAAGGCCAACTGAAGTGCATAGTGAAATCCTATCTCAAAAATAGGTGTCCATCTATGTAGGGGGTAAAAGATGAGAGAGGTAAAGGAAGCAAAGTGTAGGTAGAAAAAACCCTAGTTGTTTGCAGGTTCTTCTTCTTCTTCTTTTTATTTTGAATAGGGGATCAAACTCGAGACCTTGTGCTTGCCAGGCAGGCACTTATACTGCTGAGCTATCTCCCTGAGCCCCAAAACACTAACTCTGAAAGTAAGGAATGCGCCTGCCTCTAGTTATTCTCAAGAGATGTGGACCTAACCTAGTCTTCCTTTCTTCTAGTTAACTCCCGTCCGTGCTCTTGAGGTCTTCATTTTCCTGATGGACTATGTATTGGGTGAAAGTGCCCTAATAAAGGAGGCTCCACTTCTTCCACCCCTGGTGCAGGAAGTGACTGGGCAAGTCGCTACAAGTGCTCAGGGTGCAGACCAGATGGAAGGCAGTCCGGCAGGTCATGCTCCTTTTATTAGCTTCCTCCAGTTACAGGCTGAGACAGTCTTAGAAAATATTTAATGCAGAATTAGAAGCTTTTGGCTCAGACGTGTCCAGCCACAAGGGTGGCAAAGACGGGCCAGGAACCATCTTCATTTCAGCATCTAGTCTGGCATATCAGCAGGATGCCAGTGCGCTGGCTCTGGCCTGTGGGGCTGTGTGGCTACAGCTTGAATTCACTGGGCATTGGCTCTCCTCTCAGGCCAGCCAGCAAGTTGTTAGCCGCCAACAAGGACATGGTGTTGCGCGTCTTATAAGTGGCACTGCCGATGTGAGGCAGAATCACTGGAAAGGAAAAAGAAGAGATGGAGCTAAGAAGTATGGCTCAATACCTTACATCAGAAGTGTGGGTCCAGCCTGGGCAACCTAGGTGACTTAGCAAGACCCTATCTCAAAATGAAAAGGAAAAAGGGCTGGGGATGTAACTCAATAGGAAAGCCTTGGGTTCAATCCTCAGTATTTGGGACTGAGGTGCCATAAATTGGGCTCTTGTCTCCTGGCTTGGCTTTGCCTAATTAAGGACAGAGACCTGCCTCAATATACCTTCATTTGCCTTTCCTACTTTCTTGTTCAGAAGCACTCCATCCTCCTGTGGCTGGGGTTCAGAGAACAGTAGAGAGGTCCCAGACTACTGAGACTTTAATACTAGAGGGATAAAAGGTTTGTACCTACACAAAAGGATGGCAGGACTACAGGAGTCTTGGCACCTACCTCAACCTGAGCCCTTCAGGGAACAGATGGTGAAGCCGGGTGCCACCTTAGTTCTAGCCACCCACAGCCTGTACCCCTTTAGTGTAACTTGAAGATGAAGGGTGTGGTTGCACATCAGGAATCCCAGCACTCTGGGAAGCTGAGACAGGACAAACATATTGGTGCCTCATCCCTGCAACTTAATGACACAGCATGAGACCCTGTCTCAAAAAGGAAGATGGAATGGGGATGTAACTCAGTACATAGGTCCTGGGTTCAATCCCTACTATTGCAAAAACAAAATTCCAAGATGAAGTGTTGACACCATAGCTCCCCCATGTCCCACTACATCAAGGGAGCAAGTGTGGTCACTCATCCCTAAATACCTGCCTTTTAAAAATTTTTATTTTATTTTTTTAACTCATTAACTTCATTGAAAATAATAATTATATAGCAAATTAAAAATTGTAGATAAATATTGAAATGTGAATGATATAGACTGAATTTTAGAGAAATATTGCTGAAATGAATATATAACAGGATTAATAATAGATTGCACATTGTAAAAAAATTATTTACAAACAAATGAATATAACAATAAAAACTATCTAAAATGTGAAGAGGAAAGAGTTTATAGAGCAGTCATGTAATAGTACACTATGAGCCAAAATCAAGAAACTTATATTCATATAATTAGAATTCTCAAAGTAGAAGGGGGTAGGCAATAAAGATTTAAAGATTTAAAATTACTGAATTTAGTTAAAATTATAGCATCACATTTCCAAGAAAAACGAACCTTCTGCACAAGAAATATGAATAAAATCATACCAAGATACACAAAAGTGAAATTATCTAACACTAATTGTAAAGAAAAAAATCATTAAAGCATATACATAGAAAAAAATATTAGCTATGGAAGGACAAAATAGCATCTTATTCCACATTAGAAAAAAAAAAGGAGCAGGGGCTGGGTGTTTGATCCCTGGGCCTGCCATGCTGGCCCCGCCTCTGGGGCATGCTGAGACTGCAATTGAGACTGGGCAAGGTGGCACGCACCTGTAATCTCAGCTCTTGGGAGGCTGGAAACTGGTGGATCACTATGAGTCCAATCTAGTAGTGAGGCCCTGAACACCCTTAAGACCGTTCCCTAAAATTAAAAAAAAAAAAAAAAAGAGCAAGTAGGTAAGAAACTAGACTTATTTATTCAAAGGACTGAAAAATAAATGGATCTGTCCTCACTGAATTTTACACTTAGCCAACATACCTTTGAAAACTAAAATATTTTCCCATCACACAAACTCGAAATATTCTAATAACTCCAGACACAGCATATAGAAAATAACAAAGACCATAATCCAGAAGGCAAAAGAAGTTGCTGTATGGTCCTAGATAAAGAATAAAGAGCTCTCAAAATGGTAGTTGTGTAGGACTATGTAAAATATAATT